GAGAGAGAGAGAGAGAGAGAGAGAGAGAGAGAGAGAGAGAGAGAGAGAGAGAGAGAGAAGAGGAATCCTTCCAATAATCAGTGTGTACAATGTCACAGCTCTTCCACCCTCCTTCAACCTCCAGGCTTCTTGCTTCACTGCTCACCATGGTGCTGTCACCAACCTAACCCTCTACAGATGATGAAGCCAATGTTTCTTCCAGAAGCTCCAGACCAACGCACAAATCAACCATCCAGCGCCTTCTCTGGTGGCTGGTAACCCAGAGTATGTAGTCTTGTACTGAAGAGCAGCATTCACCCTTACACACGCACACACACACACACACACACACACACACACACACACACACACACACACACACACACACACACACACGTGTTTTATGCATGTCTCTCTATTGTTGTGTGTCATATTCTTCCTGTTTTTCTGTCTGTCTTCCTTATATGTTTCACAAGTACTTTTTGTGTGTCCTGCTGAGCACCTTTAAGCAGTGCCAATTAGTCGGTCATTCCTCGCTTGGAGTGCCTGCAGCACTCTTAGGGGGGGCGCTCAGTTCATGATGTCTGTGTTTCCTGCAGGTGATGACAGATGATCGTCTGAGTGACTCCCTGGCTCAGCGGGTGGCGGGAACCAACAGCCTGCGGGGCTCAGTCGTGATGTGAGTAGATGATGTGCTGCTTTGCTCCGTGTTTGATGCGTAGACTGCCTCGTCTGCGCTCCGCCGCTGCCTTGTTGCCTGTCCCGCTTGCTTTGCTGTCGTTCTTTGCAAGCTGCCGTGTTCACGATCTGGTGTGGCTGTGTTGTTGGTGCTGCCTTATGCTTTGCTACTCTGCTGCCTTGCTGCCCATTCGCATGCCGTGCCTGCTGCTTCCTTTGCTTGTGCGCAGTGAAGTTTGGCTGCCTTGTCCGCGCTGCGATACGCTTCACTGCACCGTTGTCGTGCTGCATATGCGCTTGCCCTGTCATCCGTGCAGTTGTTTTTGGCATTGTGCAGTTGTGTTGCCTCAGCTGCGTCGCCTGGTGCTTTGCTGAGTTGCTGCCCGCTGCTGTGTTCCATTTGTGGACAGTCTGCTTCCAACAAGGGTCAAAAGGGTTCATGGCCCAAACAATCAATACTGGGATTCCACAGATTGTCGAGGGTTCAGCCTTCCAATGAGTCCATGCAACTCCAACGAAACAATCTTGTTACCTGTGCAGTTTTTATTGTTTTTTTTTTTTTTTTTTTTTTTTCATTCTTGTGGTTTTCGTTGTTGATGATTTCTTTCAGAATGGTTCTCGTACTTTGTGCTTACTTCCTGTCGCTACTTATGCTTGCCCACCCGCCTCTCCTTTGCCCACTAGCCTGTGCCCTGCAACCGCTGCTTGTTCAAAGTCTCCTCGCCTTATCACCCTTTGCCCCGATGCTTTACCTTCCCTTGATGCCACTTGGTCTGCTGGCTGTCTGTTGCCTTGTTCTCCTTGTTTTTCTTGTCCTTTGCCGTGTTCCCCTTTTTTTCCCTTGTCCTTTGCCTTGTTCCTTCGAGCTGCTGCTTTTGGCTCGCTGTCGTTTGCCTCGTGACCTATTGCCTTCGGGCTCTAGTCTTTGTGTCTTTGTACGGTTGGTGAAAGATAAGGGCAACTGTATGCACATTCGCTTTCTTCTTTAGGATGTGTGCCTTCTATATTTACCATACGACGTGGATCGCTCTATGTCCTGGTATGATTCTTATCGCATTTTAAAACACAGCTCGCCGCGATTAGCGTCGCGGTAGGCTGGTAGCCACCTGTCCTTGTCACTTACACACACACACACACACACACACACACACACACACACACACACACA